AAAAAGTAGCAAAAATGGAAAGAAAAATGTGAAAAGGACTTCGTGTGCAAAGTAGGTGTTTAATGTAATTTGTTCTCCATTTTAAAAGAAAGAGTGCATTTTTGAAAGAGTGATTTACGGAGAATGAGTGGTTAAAAACTTTAAAAAAAAAATTAGATTTATGTGTAATATTATTTTATTAAAAAATATGTAATTAAAAATGGATTTTGAAAAAATAAATTTTTCCAACAAGGTCTAAATGAACAAAATAATTTCAACAAGGTCTAAATGAACAAAATAATTTATATAAACTAAAGAGGAGGAAAAAGATGAGGAGGAAGCCAAATGGGCACAATTAAAGCGGTGGCCATTATCGCCGGCGATAACAATATCAAAGGCACCCTTCAATTTCTTCAACAACTTCCCACTGGTCAGTAATTCAATTTCGCTTTCCGTTTATGATCATTTCAATTCAAAATAACCACTGATACATGTTAATTTCTTGTTACCACACACACATATGCTGACAGAACCCAGTACCACAATCAAATGAATAATTGTAATTTGTATGGTGGTGTACAGGAGCAACCCATGTCAAAGGACGAATTAGTGGACTCAGTCCTGGCCTCCATGGTTTCCATATTCACGCTCTTGGCGACACCACCAATGGCTGCAATTCAACTGGTAACTAGTCTCTATTCTTGCCATCTATTTTCTATAATTTAACACTCAAGGGAATACAGAATAAACATTCAAGCTCACTGAACATGGGGTGGGCCTATTGCCTGCCAAATGAATTGAAATATTCATGTCTGGTTTAGGAAGAGATTATGGAAGTTTTGGAATGATTAAAATTCGGGAAAGAAAAAGGTTTGTATGGGAAATGCTTCAGGAAGTTATGCAGGGCATCCTGTTTCATCTTTCGTTTATTCGAGCCATTTTTGATACAGATATTCAATAAATTCGGGGATTTGGGAGAATATAATGAAATAAAGCCACTTTGAAGTCTATCTAAAATTGAGATAAATTCAATGGTCTTTCTGATTCTCGAAGAATGAGGGGGCAAAGGATGCTTGTAGTTGGATCCACGACATGATCCTGTGTAATACAGCATCTCCTTAAGTCACTAATATTAGGAATTTACGATTTCTTTTGCAATTTGTTTCTATTTTCAGAAGAACCTTATTAACATAGTTCAACTGACCTTCCCCTAAAAGAGCAAACATGTTTGTTTGTTTGTTTGTTTGTTTGTTTTTTAATTTTTTAATTTTTTTTCTTTTTCAAATTCCATTGGTGGTTTTCAGGAATTAGGCTTTCATAGAAGTGATTAAGATCTGAATGTCTAATACTGGTGATACTTGCCCTTTTCAGGACCCCACTATAATCCCGTAAAGAGGGATCATGGAGCTCCAATTGATGACGAACGTCATGCCGGTGATCTGGGAAATATAGTGGCTGGTTCAGATGGTTTGTTATGTATTCAATGCTATATTTTAAGAATTGAATGGATCAAATAATTATCAGGCAGTTTTTAGTTTAATTTTTCATTGCAGGGACTGCTGAGATTTCAATTACAGACAAGCAGGTGTGCCACAGTGGTTACTTTTGTTGTAATTTCAAAATTTAGCAATTTAATATATAAAATAGTTTTCGGTATACAGTTATTAATGTCAAAATATAATGGTCATAATTTTATAGAACAACCTTACTCAAAAAAGGATAGGATTTTGAATGAAAAAAAAAAAAAAAGCACAGTAAGTTCATGGCATAAATATTGGCTCCAAGCATGTTTTGTTGGGTTATGTAGTTGTATAGAATAGCCAGATGTTGAAAGCTTCATTTTGGGAGTTGGCTGACTTGTACTGATTCTGTGTGGTTATGATTAAAGTGTTTCAGGTTATGAAGTTAATACTGGTGACTTAGTTAAGTAGTTGACCCCTCCTAAAGTTACTGCCTTGAGGAGGCAAACTGTGTTCTAGACCTTGATAATATTGCTGTGCAATGTATTTCAAATGGTCCTATGTGACGTGAAGATGAGATTATAGATATTCTAGACAGTAGATACTGTTAAATGATGCATAAGAACCTCCTAGTGTTGATGGCTTGTATTATGGCCTGTTTGAGCCACATTATTTTCCTAGAATGCATTTTGGAATCGTAAATTAATAGAGAATGTGTGATTTAAAAATAAGAAAAAGTTTTGGATTTGCATATAATATTATTTTATTAAAGAATGTGTGGTTGAAAATGAGAGAGAGAGAGAGAGAGAGAAAACTGTATTTTAAAAAAATGGGGCTCAAACGAGGGCATATATGTAATTCTGGAATTACTTGAACTGTTTTTATTTACAGATTCCACTAACTGGTCAGCATTCGATTTTGGGAAGAGCTGTTGTTGTGCATGCTGATCCTGATGACCTAGGAAGAGGTATCTTTCTAGAAAGTATCAATGATGATATTCTTTATTTTGGTCTCTCTATAGACCTGCACATTGACCTTGAGAATATTTTGACTTTTTACTCTGTTCCGAGCAGTCTATTTCATTTGTCTTGCATCTATACTTTGCCATTTGTTGGTTATCAAGTGTCAACTGATTGATTGGGCTGTGCAACAGGTGGACATGAACTTAGCAAGACCACAGGGAACGCGGGTGCCAGAGTTGGATGTGGTAATTCTTTTTACTTGTGTACTAATTTATTTCTCCTTGCATTGGTTTAGGGGAACTCTGTTTGATTCTAAAAATAGTCAGCGGTGCGATTTACTACATCAATGTAGCCTATAGATTATCACAAGAGCACTTTGGTAAGTTCCATCATGGCACCTAATGGATATATTGTTATTGAGAAATGACAGTGAAGATCAGTAAGAAGAGGAAAATGGGGGTGAGTAGGAAGAGAGGGGAAGGAAGAAGTTCCATCATCATTTTTTAGCAGAACATTACCTGTTACCATTTACCATTCATGCTTGTATTGCCACAATGGATCTTACATAGCCCCGTTTGACTCTCTTTAAATTAAAACTCTTTATTTCTCATAATTATTTTCAATCTCACATTCACACAATACAATATTCTGCATGTAAATCCAAAATTTTTCTTTACTTATTAACCATATATTCTCCCAAAAAAAAAACGAAAAAAAAAGGGAAAAATCACTATTCAAAACATTATTTTTTCCCCTATTTCTCTTTATAATGGCAATCAAATAAGGGCATAGTATGTCTCGTTGAAGTGCTGCATTGGCTTAAGTAATATATCCTTTAGTGCTTACATTATTTATTTGCACTTTTGGCAGGTATCATTGGACTTCAATCATCTGTTTAGCAGTTGTCAAGATTGTAGTCTCAATCAAAATAAGCTAAGCTTTTAAGGTGCTTATAGGCTTGAGCCAAACATGCTACAGTCTTTATCACATGTTGGGATATCTGAGCATCACTCTCTTGACGTGTACAATGTCTGAATCTGATGATATAATAATATTGGATTTCCTTTTCTCCATGCAGCCGTTTATCTTTTTGTCACATAAGAAACTCAGTTTTACCGATTGAATCACAAGGCGTCATGTATATTTACACAACCAAGAATGGCCAGAAAAGGTAAAAACTCCCTAGGGGTCATGTCCCGAGCTAATAAGGAAGAAGCAGAATATAAAAATTGTTAAAATCTCGAACTAGAATGACCAAAACGATGTGGATGGTAGAGATTTATCACAACAAACAGAGAGGGTAAAGAAAGCCATTTCCAAATGTAGAAATTTCATTGCTGCTACACGTGCATGAAGAGGTCTGGTGTTCTATCCTCTGAGGTAAGTGTTGGTATATGATGAGTTGTGGCGAAGTGAAGCATCATGGGGTTTGTATTCCATTAGCTATGGGGATGCTTGAGGTGTCGCTTGATAGAATCCATTGCCGCCTGCTAAAAATAAACCGAAGTCAACGAGACAATGACAAACTAAAAACTACTGACCTCATCATCAGATGCATTGCCGCTCAATACATCCTCCGGATGTCGGCAAATATTTATCGCTCCCTTTCCAAACGCTCACACGCACACACAGAGAGAGAAAGCGAGACCTCGTTGACTTTAGTAAAATTGATAAGACAAGGTTCAAAGATGTTGCACAGATAATAGAAAAATGAAAAATGCTACACTTAGTTTGACAACTCTCTAGATAATTGCGGACCCACCCCCTATTAGAGAACTATCAGTCGGGGTGTACATCTAGTATTGTTGTAGAAGAATTATGTTTTCTCGCAATCGGTTAATTCAAGGACATGGAGGCAAACGAAACAAAAACAGAAAGTAGAGAGACAACTGGACAGAAGTATTGAACTGAAAGAAGATAATATCGCAGAGCCAGATGACATGAAATCCATTGTTGCGCAATTTTTCTCATACCAGGTCGTCCTAAAAGCACCTGAGACAGACTTTTTAAATCTAATAATCCATTTTCAGAATCCTGATAAAAGGAAAGTAACTCATGAAAAGGTAGATCATCTATAAAAGACTTGCTAAAGAAAGTAAAACAAAGACAGAAGAAAACAATTCGCTGACTCAAAGCTGCAAATCATACCTCCCGCAATGGACGAATACCCTCCTTGAAAATATGTAAATCGGATGGACTTAGCATTGTGGAGGGCCGAGCAAACAGGCAGTAACAGATCCAGATACTTTCAACCTATGAGCAATCAACTTTAAACTGTAAGATTGATGCATTAATCCAGTAGGTAGAAATTTAATGAATTGATTAATGCATTAATCCACTCGGTAGAACTGAAACTTATGGGCCTAATCTTTGCTCAGTGCTCACATTAAGGTGAAAGGCTAAAATCTGGGCAAATTTTTCTCTTGAATGCATTTGAGTTTAAGAGAGAGAAGACTTACAGTGATAAATCCTATGATCTTTACATTGTCCTCATCTGATGTTTGAGTTCTAGCTCCTGGTGTTCGGCGAGTGTACCAAGATACAAATTTGTGCTGACAATCACATCAAAGCAAGATGAGTTTCGTCGTCATCATTACAGTAGGATATGACATCATAGCAACATTTGTAAACACACTGAAAAAAAAAGCGTCGTCCCAAAAAAAAAAATCAAAAAATCAAAAAATATAATTCTAAAAAAGTAATCAAACATAGGAACAACCTTGTTGATCCAAAAAAATGTATCTCCAACATGGCTAACAAATCCCAAGGCCTCTTATGTCCATGCAAGCCTTGTTTTTGCATACTTGAACAAACTGTTAACCACATGTGGTCTCCTCTAATGGGGGTGGAGTTGGCCGCACCCACTTCAACAATCAAGTCAATTGGAGAAGAAAGAATATATGAGTGTGGGGAGCTTTAAACGTGAGCTTTCAATATAAAAAGAGAGTCGGCTTTAGGAACTAACAAATAGAATAGTAATATGGAAAAGTTACAGTGTTAGAATCTAAACTTACATTACATTTGAAATGACATTAAGTGTGAGCTTTTATAGTAAAAGGAGTTCAGCAAGAACCGTTGGATGAAGAGGCACATGACTGCATCCGTGTAACTAGTCTCTTGTTGGAAACATAAATCGATCGTAAGCATTACAATACCACATTTTTTTTTATCCAAAATGCCTAGCTTGCAACTTTAGACTCAACCTAGTGGATTTGAAGTGGCGACGACAACAATGAATTGTCACATCAATCACATACCATAGATTGTTTAAGAAATCTTGTTCTTAATTCACTTCACAGTTTCTCCTCTACTGTGGTTCGGCTCATCCTCATAGGGTTAGCTAGTGGAGGGTCAATAGACATATTGGCTCGACCACCCTAAAGAGGTTCAGCCTGGCGGTGATTTGTGTGGCCCCATGGTTGCTAGCCAAGTAGGACATTTGGGGGTCTTATAGATGAGGCATAACAAACCTTACAATGGAATTTCTTGAAATTAGGCCCGGCCCTGGGACCAAGCCACCTAGGCGAACGCCCAGGGCCTCCAGATTTCGGCTTGGGCCCAGGGCGTCCAAATTCAGCAGATTCTCACAATTAAACCGTATCTGTTTCAAATGGCAAAAGGTAATCAATTAGACTTCCAGCTCCCGCTTCCAAAATTTCCAGCACCAACTGACCAAATCTGCAGTGGAAAATCCCAATCTCCGCCTCTCGCACACCGGATTCCTTTTTTTATGTCATATCAGGTCCTTTTCTCCTCTTTATGCGCCACCATTAAAATCTCTATTTTGCTTGTTTTGATAGGAAACAGAGATAATAGATCGAAAGGATAGGTTTTCAATTGTTTTAGCCTCGGATTGATCTTTTGTTTGTGTTTAGTTTGATGTTAAATAGCTAAATGTCTCGACCAGAAAGATTTATTTTTTATTTTTTGTCTTCTTCTTCTAATCTTCTAATTCCTTTTTCAATTTTTTTTGGTAATATCTGAGTTAAATAAACAGTGCAATCATGGTTTAGTATAGAGATAGGGGGAGAAAAGGTCAGAAATGTTTATACAAGGTTGGAATTGAGATCTGAAACATTCTCCAAGGAAGAGTAGAATTGTAAAAGTGAACGAGGATAGGATCCATTTTTTATTTTCCCAAGGTTTGATGTTGGCTATTGTGCACTTGTTGTATTTCTTTATCTACTTACTGTATTAGTGTTTGATATCTAAAGAATTGCAGTTTCTTAACCAATAAAAAATATTTTTTCTCACAAAATTTCAATGTAAATGGGGGCAATTCAATCACACCCTTTTGCTCACCTTGTTAGCTATAGAACCTTGACAGGGAGTATCTGAGGAGTTGGAAGGTCATCATTTGCCGGGACATGCTGCATCAATGGATTTAAATATGCATCCTTCGACTTCAGGAAATTCTTGTACTATTTCTAGTGATGCTTTGCTGAAAATCCAGGTATATGATGCCCGTGTGCTAATTTTACCAATGAGAGTAGATAGACATACAGTGGCTCTCAAATATAGTCATGCCTCATTCTGTTGTTTGTTTATAAGTTCAAAATCTGATTTTGCGATAAGCTTTAAATTACTAGCTGAGATTCACGTTAATTTACTTTTAAATGTTTCCATGTTTTCTTAAATAATTATTTGATATTGTTGGGTGGGAAGGAAATATTGGGTCCCTTGTTGCTGGGAAGAGGGAAAGGGAGAGACTAGAGACTATAGTTAATGCAGTCCTTTCTTAAAGTTTTGCTACTATTATGGCAAAGAATTTTTTTTTTATCTTTGGAGTTGAAACTGATGTTCATTATTTGAGTTGTTTGATTACTAATAATGCATCTCAAAACGTGAGAATACTAAATATAATGTATGCTAGTCTAATCTCTTGGGTTGTAAGTGATATTTTATTTAGCAATTCTATCTTTTAGATTGTACAAAATTTTCATTTAAATACCTATCAAAAAAATATTTTCATTTAAATATAGATGTATTTTTTTATTCAAATATTGCTATACGTGAAAAAAAAAGTACAGGGCCTCAACATAATTTGTCGCTTAGGGCCTCCAAATTGTCAGGGCTGGCTCTGCTTGAAATCACAAGCAAAAATCTAAAAGAAACCTCCAGGAATAAACTAATAAAGAGCCATCCAGAAGCCTTAATATAAGAATTCATAAAATGCCAGAAGATATTTTTATCTCTATTCATGCAACTTTGGGAGGAAAAGACCGAAATAAGAAAGGATGACAACCGTTTTCATTTATTGTTGTTCAAAATTATTGACAGACAATAGTCACACCATATTGTTGTCCTAAAACATCCAGAAACTATTAAAGCATTCTGGTATTTGCACAATAAATTAGTGGATGCGTAATTATAACAATGCCTTGAAGAAAACATAGAAGACCCTTATTACCATGCTATTATTCCAACTGTCACTTTTAGAGGTAAGGATAAGTGAATAGATGGAGTGAAGACGATAACAATTCTGTTGGAAAAAATTAAGGGACTTTTCCTTGATTTCCTTTCTCGTCCCAAAGTCATTCCAGGCAGTTTGAAGCGAGCTAGATGAACTAAGATTTAGCCTCTAAAAGTATCTGGAACAGAGTGCTGAGCACCAACTCTCCCTCTTATTCTAGAGTTCGTAAAGGGATTATTCTAATAATGGTATTATTCTAAGAGGAAGAAAATTTGAAGAAATAAAGAGATTGAAAGGGATTCTAGTCTTCTAGTTAAAAATTCTAGATCAAAGATCTTGGTCATTCGAATTATGACTTGAGAATGGTGTTAGAATTTGGGTATGACCTGAATTCATTGTTGAAGCAATTGAAAAATTCTAATGGAAGTGTACGTCAAAAGGAATTCAATTTTGAGTTAAAATAATTTATAAACCAATCACAAAACTTATTATTTGTTTCGATCAAATTAAAGTTAGTAAAAATTAAACCAATTGTTAAGTAGTAGTCATTGTAGTAACGATATTTGGACCCTTAGATCTACTTTATTGCTTGTTACTCTCCATACACTTGCGGAATATAAAAATCGACTGCAGGTAGCTAAAAACTTATCCTTGCACGAGAATGGTACACACCCTCGTGCAGACTCTGTGGGGTTACGTCTCTAAGTATCTGTCAATATTTTTGTCATATTTTTCTCTTTCAATTGAGACAATTCAAAGTGCATTGGAATGCTAATTAAAAGGCTACAGTCCTTCTAAAAATATCATTTATTTTTTCAATTGGAGCATTTTCTATGCCACAAATGAGTTTAAATTTAAGGCTGAATCAAGAGCATAACCCGTGCAGCTAGAAATTGATTTATGAAAATACTTGACTATAATTCATTCATTTGACTTTTAATTACATTCAGTTGATACTATTTGATCTTCATTTATCATTTTATAGTCTGAATCAACTGTTGGATATATTTAATTTGGTATCCAAACTTTGGATTTCGTCCATTTAGCTTTTCACTTCAATCGATGAATTT